CTCAAATCCAAAAAAAAATCTAAGGAAAGGCATGAACAGAAATGTCTTAAAAGATTTTGCAGTTACTCGCAATGAGAAATAAAAATCTAAATCAGGATTTTCTAAGTTAGAGATTTCGTCACTAATTTTGGCTCATTTTTTCAAATTTATATATCAGTCAAAAAAATTTTCTTCAAACAATCAAGGAAAAACCGAAAACTTCAATAACTGAATTATAAATTGTCTTGAATTTAAGCCCTGAGACAGATCAGCATTGCATTTTCGGCATTTTAATCTAATTCAAAACTTTTCAAATTTAAAAAAGGATCTTAGTACATAAATTGATTTCAGATACTTTCAAAAAACCTCTTAGAAGCTACAAGTTAGCTTTAGACCAAAGAAAAAAACTTCACGCAAGATTCGAGATGTAGTTCTGAAATTCTGAGACAATATGTCGAAAGTTTTTTCATAGTTACGCCTACATTAAATTAATGCTTACATTTGTGATGCAAAGTTTGAAACTTGGAAGTGTGCGCAACTTTCACATCCTCGGTCAACAAGCCAAGGCGCCAACAAGCGAAGGCAAGATTAACAATGCAGCGAGCCAAAAATGTGATTAGTGGTTCTAAATCTGTAAAGTTTTGTCTTGTTGCCCACAGCTTAAGGTGGCCGATTAGTGCCGCTTCAAAGCCGTGTGGCCGCTTTAAAGCGATAACTGGCTCTAAAGATCGCGATGAGTGCTACTCTCAGTTGGCAGGCTTTCAAAAAGTTGACGCGACTGTTATGCAATTATGTTACTTACTTCTGAAATAACTTTGGCTTGCAATTCGGCGATTTGTACATTTGGCGGTTCGTGTTGAACGCCCGCCCAAAAATAACATTATTATTTTTTGACCAAATATGAAATAATTGCACGGTTTGACCTTTCAAATTGGGCAAATCCGATTGAAAATTTCTTCTGTATTCTACTCAATATTTGTATCTATTTTGACATAATGTCCATTTTTCATCACTTTATCTCAATCTTTGCGTAAGATTTTTCTCTTCATAAATTTATCTGAAAACTGCTTTACGATGAAGTATTTGAAATGAGTCTTATGTCTAAAAAGTGACTGAAATCTTTTTTTAAAGGTGAACAGAAGTGATTGGTATTAGTGAGGGACTTACCATTTTAGCGTTGTTTGCTGCATCAAACGGAGCCCAGAACAGAATAGCATTGTTTTGTATTCGAATTGTTTTCATCCTTAGTGGGTCAATTGATCAATATTGCTGCTGCAAATATGTCGTCTCCGCCGCTGAATTTTATTGTTTTCGACTACATTGCTTCTCATCTTTCTACAGTAAAACGACATT